CCATTCAGAAAGCTAAAAATGACATCGGCTTAACTCAGAACCGACTAGCACAGGTAAAACAACTTTAATTAGGATTGACTTGAATTTTTATGCTCCTAAATTGAGCAGTTTTGACCACAAGTGCCCTCATCATTTTTCTAAAGATCCAATCAGAGACCACAGCTCGTGAGAGGGATCTTAATGATGCTATGGTCAGGCTGGGAAATCTGGGGTGCCAAATAGAGGCCTTAAAGACCAAATGTGCCAACAACAGCCTGGATGCAGCACGGGCAGAAGAGACGGCCACCATGGCCCGCGACAAGGCCAATGAAGCTAAAGAGGTGTGTGGCAGTCATCTGTTTGTCACAAAATGTTTTGTTTAGGAATGTGCCTGAAGTCTAAATGGAAAAAAAGTGCATGGAAAATGAGTAACGCATTCTACGGAGCCCCTAAAGGGACATGGTTAGGCTTGCTGTGGTAGTCGGTCACATTACAGTACATCAAATTTCACTTATCGCGTGAAGATAGTAAGAAGAGATGACTGACAGAACGATGTTGGAGGATTTGGTGAGCAACAGATCCTGAGCGTAACTGACAAATATCTTATCTTGTAAAATCAATACCACCGCTCCCTAGACATAGAGTGGTCGTGATCATGAATTTGAACACAGACGCACAGATAGTGGCTCCCTGATGCCCGCAAATTATATACAATATAATTACCCAACTAGATCATTGCAAGACAATGCAAAAGCATTGAAACTTATTTTTCTTCCCATCACGTATTTTTTCCATCACCTTGTCCTTTTAGGGGCTCCATAGAATGCGTCATTTTCTTTCCAAACGTGGTATTTGGCTTGGGGCACATCCCTAGTTTTGTTTACCAGAATTTAGTGACTTTATTGTCTGTTTTAGATCCTGGACGGCGAGCTGTCCGATAAGTATCGTACTGTTCAGGGTCTGATGGAAAATAAGGCGAAGACAATACGGGACGCTAAGCAGAAAGCAGAGCTCCTGAGAGATGAAGCCAAGGAGCTGCTAAAGGATGCCCAGGATAAACTGCAGAGGCTGGCAGGTAAATGTGTGAGAGACACACAGAGAACTGGAGGAAGTTCTTACAATTCAGTTTTATGTTTTGAATTGTTTTATGAATTTGGAAGAACCTGTACAGTTTGGTCAGAAAAGTCTGAGACCAGTAGTGGAAATACTTCTATTTTGCATTTGTTTCTGATTTAATACATTTTTTTAATTACATTTTATATTATCAGCATGGAAGTTTAATTAAGTAAGTTGAATTGAAAAATTAACATGAATATCAGAATTTCTTAGTATTTGGTTTGTCGCTCTTTTGCTTTAATGACATCTATATACATAAAACAGTACAGGGATGTAGAGCACTGAGCTGTCCTAATATAGCATAAAGTGAATAAATATTATTTTGTAAATAAATATTAAACATAAATATAATTGTATTATTTATATTATCATTTAAATATATTTTAAAAATACATAAAAACAACATTTTGTGTAGTAATTAAATAATATTATAATTATATAATTATAAATATATATAAAAAATATAAGAGTAAGATAATAAATTAATTAATACATAAATACTGAATTAATACTGAGGTGTGGATGTGTGAAACACAATTTCGACTTATGCGGAGCATAAAAATGACAAAAGGAATCTGAATCTGAATTATTAAAATAAATGTTATTTTATTTGGCCTAATATAAGAATAAATAAATGAGAAATGAGTGAATGAATAAATAAATAAAAATAAGGAACATACATTTATTTATAAAATATAAACAATAAAAATAAATATTATTTGTTATCATTAATATTATAACTATATTATAAATATTATAATTGTATACAACGAACACATTTCTGAAGCGTACCAGTCAAGTAACTGAAAAGCATAAATTGCCCTCTTGTGGAGATAAGTAATACTGATCTTGTACCATGTTCTTGGAAGGCAGTCATTGTTTATTTCCTTGTAATTCTGACCTGGTTTTGTTGTTTTTTGCATCCATAGAGCTAGAAAAGGACTATGAGGAAAACCAGAAGGTATTGGAAGGAAAAGCCAGGCAGCTGGATGGCCTGGAAGATAAAATGAAGGCAATCCTGAATGCCATCAATAAGCAGATTCAGATCTACAACACCTGTCAATAATCGGTCACAGGAAGCAAAGCCCAACAGCTGGACTGCTGCTGTCTCTGAAAGTTCACTACTGTCTGAAAGGATCTGTCATTTGACTCTTTTCCCAGGCTGCTACAGTTTTTACCAACAAACCTACAAGACGATGCCAAACTGCTACCAGACGTGATGTCTGGAACAAATGTATGTAATGTAATGTAATGAAGGGCTACTGTTATAACGACACTGCATTAACATATTTTCATTCTGGAATTGAATGCAATGCAGATGTTCGTGTGTGTGTTGTACGGCAGAGCAGTATTCTACTTTCTTGTTGTTAGAAATCTGCTTGTAAAATACTGAATACAGTATGAGGAAGATACTGAGTTTGCTTGAATGTAAGAGACACTGAATCGTGGCACAGATGTTTTATTGTTTAGATTTTCTGCTAGCCCTTTTTCTTTTAAAACAGGTATAGCTTGGTACTTTATTAACATTAATTTTCTAATGAGAAAAACACACATTTGTTGTCTTTTGAGGAATTAGTTTCTATAATAGGCTGAATGTCTAAGAAATTACTGTAAGACTGAACTTACAAAGACATTAGGCTATTAAATGAAGTAAAATGAGTAAAGTTGTCCATATAAAGTCATTGGTTGTGTGTCACGTACATTGATGTTCATCGTGTTTCTTCTCACGAGTAAAAAATAGCAATAATACTTAATAAAAATAAATAATATCCCTGTAATATCCAATGAAGGTATAAAGTTTCATTTTATATCTTCAGCATGTTTAATGTATCTTAAGTATAATTTTCCAAGTGTTTTTCTTCCAAATCACCTCATAAGTGTGAACGCCATCAGATAGAAAAATAAGGTGTCAAATATTTGACTGCAGGAAGGTTTTGAATAGATTTTCAACTCCCATCTATTGAATTGTCACAGCAGTCAGAAAAGCTTCCAAATCTTACTGTTTTTATAAAATAGGACCATATCAAACCTACTTAAAATAAGAGAAATTACATGAAAAACCCAAACAATTTATTTACCATAGTTGGCATACACTAGGTTGGCATACATTAATGTTTTAATGTTTCTAATGAAGTATTTTATGCTCACCAAGGCTAAATTTATTGAACCAAAAATACAGTAAAAACAGTAATATTGTGAAATATTATCACAATGTAAAATAGCTGTTTTCTATTTTTATATATTTTAAAATGTAATTTATTTCTGTGTTGGCAAAGCTGAATTTTCAGCATCATTACTCCAGTAATCAGTGTCCCGTGATCCTTCAGAAATCATTCTAATATGCTGATTTGCTGCTCAAGAAACATTTCTTATTATTACCAATGCCGAAAACAGTTGTGCTGCTTAATATGAGAAAACCACAATTTGACGAACTTGAACACTTTTGAATCCACAAACGAAACAAGGACTGTCTTTGACGTTTTAAAGGGGTCATGAACTGCTGTTCTCTGAGGTCCCCTTATAATGTTATCAAGATTTTTACATCAAGGAAACATAATTCAGAATAGTCTGCCGTATCTGCCATGTTTTGACCCCCCTCATCGGAACCATAGACTGTACGCTAGATTCGGAAGTAAACGCCCACTGCTATGATTGGCTAACAGTTGTGTATGTTTGACAGTTTACATCCTTCACAGATGGACGCTGCTGTGATTATAAATGCTCAGTACATATCAAACTATCTGTAATGGCAAAGCAATAGTGAGCACGTAATAAAAACAGTTACTCACACTTGTGAAAACAGTTGTGCTGCTTAATATGAGAAAACCACAATTTGACGAACTTGAACACTTTTGAATCCACAAACGAAACAAGGACTGTCTTTGACGTTTTAAAGGGGTCATGAACTGCTGTTCTCTGAGGTCCCCTTATAATGTTATCAAGATTTTTACATCAAGAAAACATAATTCAGAATAGTCTGCCGTATCTGCCATGTTTTGACCCCCCTCATCGGAACCATAGACTGTACGCTAGATTCGGAAGTAAACGCCCACTGCTATGATTGGCTAACATTTGTGTATGTTTGACAGTTTACATCCTTCACAGACGGACGCTGCTGTGATTATAAATGCTCAGTACATATCAAACTATCTGTAATGGCAAAGCAATAGTGAGCACGTAATAAAAACAGTTACTCACACTTGTGTGGTACGACATTACTGTCTGATCCAATATAACTGTAGTCGGCACAGCATCGTCTTTTAGTTTGTCTTTCTGAAAATCCTGTGTTAAATTTTGCCTTGTTTGTAAACGAATCCGCAGTGAAATGAAGTGAACAGTCTTTGCATTGCCTTCCTTCTGATCCAAACATTAGGAAGGAAGGCAATGCAAAGACTGTGCTTTTCCACAGCTTGGCACTGCACAGCATCTTGTGGTTTTCGGAACATATTTATTGTTTGATTTACGCGTTTGCCTGTAGTTGCACTACACGCACAAATCGGTGGGCGGGGCTAAACAGGCAGTGATGTAGAAGCAGGGGTTGATCTTCGTTTGCAGAGGCGGGGTTTAGCCACACTATTACCTCATAAAGTGGCACATTTCACAACTTGTTTTGACAGATTGGCTTCAATATAAGCTGTTTTTAGACTAAAGAAAAAGTTCTGAGACTTACAGGATGTTTTTATAGTACAGTGATCTATTATATGTCAAAACATCAAGGGAATTTTAATTTCTCAGTTCATGACCCCTTTAATGAATAACAACAGTATATTTCAAATGTATACTTTAAGATATTTACATATGAAATGCATCATGAAATCTCGCATCAAAAAAAAAAGTTTTAATCTGCGCGTGGTTGCAAACGCATAGGGACTAGGTGTCCGGATGTAGACCATGCGTATGTTTGTGTGTGGAGCAGGTTGGCGTGATCGCCGTCTCTAGCCGGTTTGTTTTTGTTCTGTAACAAAGTGACAGTCACAGAGCAGCGGTCGGCTCTGCAAGTGGAGGACGGACACCGTCGTTACGTCTTTGTTTGTGTTTACAGTAACCCCGTTTCTGATTTAACACCACAAAATGGGTCCTGGTTAAGGATTATTTTGGAAATAAAGAAGAATTAAGTTTTTAGGAGGCGAGCTGATGCGGCCGCTGCCGTGTGTGAAGCCTGGGGCTGAATTAAGCTGCAGTCGCCGCGGCTCCGCTAACGGAGGAAAGGACACGCCGTTGCGACTCCTTATTACAGAAGAACAACGAAACAAAGTAAGAGTTAATTTAAACAACTGTTGTCATATCCAAGTATCGTAATAAGCCTTCACTTGTCCTGTAGGTATACATAACGTTTTTCAGTACTGGTAGGCCTCGCGCTTCTGTTCCCTTTAACGGGTATTTAGCTCGTTCCTCACTCAACACGGCTAACCGGCGTCTCTTACAACCAGATAACAAAGTTAAGATATGTCACACTTCGTACGAATGATATTTAGTAGTATTAGACCAAAATTAACGTTAAGGGACAGTTTGTTAGTGACATGCTCGCAGTTAAAGAGAACTTGAGTGTGGAATCGCTACGCTAGCCGGGTTAGCAGCCGCGGCATTAGCGGTCATTACAGGTTATAAGCAAGTTCCCTTGGATACAGTTTCCTCATATGACAACTGAAATGGAGAACAAACGGAAAGGTGGAAATGATTAAAGTCATAATATTTTCTCTTTCTTCATATTCGTTTTGCACAATGACAGCGAAGTGTCTTGACATTGACAGTAACCGGCATCGGTTTTGGTGGCTAGACGTTAAATATTTTAATAAACAACCAGTAAGTAGTGAAATCATAATGCTTGGTTGGACATTTGATTGTCCGAACACACTAGATTTTTTTTAAAAAGAATGGTCCTTAGTATTTTTTTTATTTTTTTTTTATGTATATGGTATGTTACCATAATTGGACAGATATTGATAATAAAGGCGACATTTGGCTGTAATCTTTGTCTAGCAGAATAATAATACAAAAAATCTGAAAGATTAATTTTAATAACGCAAGAATACAAAACGTTCTGTCATAAATGTGAGGTCCTTGAATTTCAGAACATGTCTGTTGTTCAGTGATGTAGGCACTTTTATATCCGATTACATAAAGAAGGATCCAAAAGTCTGAGACCACAATGAAAATATAGATTTTTCTTTAATTCTTCCCGGAAGTAAACAGTTTTTCAAAACAAAGAAATTAAAGAAAAGTAGATATATTTATTTATTATTTATTTATCTATATATATGTATATGTCGCATTTGTTAAAAAAGAAAAAAAAAATTGACCTCATAATGTAATCAAAATGTCATACCTGGATCATCGCTCTGGTCACGTATGCCAGACTTCTCCAATCATTTAATCCACTTAAACCCTGCCCCTCTACAATTGACTTACATCCTGTATTAATTTTTGAGTGCAACGCAACATGTCTTAAAATCCAACTAACAACAGATGGTTAGAACCTAGTTCAGCCCTTTTTTTTTTTCTTTTTTTTTACAAATATCTGTTCCTATTTCCTGTGTTTCTAAAATATTTTACATCTTACGCTTGCGCACACACTGCAGTAATATCGGCTCTAGACTTGTGCTGGTATTCGGTAATGCGGTATATCACGGTAATGAATATGCACGATATTGTTATCGTGGGCACTTCTAAATACCGTGAATAATTATATATAACAAATTATTCAGAATTTTGAATGCATTTTAAGAATACTTTTCCCATCAACTGGTCAAAATGCACAACACCGCTGTATGTGAAAGACGCGTGCGCACTCTGATGTAGTGTTGTCACGGTACCAAAATTTCAGGTATTATGACCACTTTTTTTAAAACTCAATTTCAATTACCGTGATAATACCGTATACCGTGATAAAAGCATTAGCAATTAATCGCAACATGAAAATTTGATACCGGCATATCCCTAATCGGCTCAAATTATGAAACATGTTTGAAGCCAAAAGAGTCTGTTTACATCATAACACTACATGATTTTCTGGGAAATCTGTCAAATTCACACTGCAGACCGACTTTCTTCACCTAGCGTCGACGACTCTAAATCAGGGGGGAAAATATGTGCAAAAGTTGTGTAGTGTATTCCAGACTTTAGTAATATGTACTGCCACTCAACCAGAGTCTGTTGGTAATACATACATTGCTGTTGTTTTTTGTTCACAGTCTCCCTCTGATTCTCTTCTGGGAGTGCTCTCACTTGAAACGCCGCCAAGATAGCTGGACCGGGCAGGAAACGGCACAGCTCAGATCCAGACCCCTGTGGAAGCAGCTCCGGCAGTGGGAGCGAGGTAGGAGACGGCCGACCCATTAGTGGCAAGTGGCTGAAGATGGCCAGCAGCAGTACAGGACCCAGTGAATCAGGCCGGAGGCGAGGTCAGAGAGGACCTGACGATGTGGTCAGCACCAGTAAGAAGAAGCAGAAGGACAGAGCTAACCAGGAGAGCAAGGAGGCCAAGCGGGCCGCCTCAGCCACCAGCTCAGTGACTAGAAAAGGTGAGGAGGGGTCATAGTTTGTAAACACTCATGAAGTAGGTCTGAATTGCTTTTACTTATTCAGGTTCTTTACCCCAATTAATTTTATCTCTTATCTTTTTGATTGTCATTTCGCTTTGTCTCCCGCCAAGTGTTACTCTTGGAAATCAAGATGTTGAGATCTAGACATATATTTGATTCATATTCTTGGGGCAAAAGTATAGTGTGGGATAAAACATTTACTGCAGTGATATCTAATGTAATATGAACTGATATGAAGCGTCTGTGGTGCAGTGTCCTTTTGACCGTTATAAAATGCAGTCTGGCCAATAACTTGAGGTTAAAGTCATTAAAGGTATGGTATAGTCCTTGTCCTATTTTCATGTGCAGAGCTGGGCTGGTTTCCAATCTGTTATGTAGTGTGGTAAACAGGGAACTGGAAAGTTAACAGACATTAACTGTGTGAAACAAACTGAACTTCTGTAGTTGTTCTGCTATGCTAGTCAGTATTGATTTAGCTATGGCACTGCACTGCCTCCTTAGCTTGTCTAATGAAATGGTTGTTGTGTGGCATTAGAAGTTGGTTTTGGTTGGTACGTGGTGAATCCAGTTTCATTTAGGCTGACATTTCTGATAATCATCTTTTGGTAATTATCTTTGAACAAAACAAAGAAGTAATGAAAGTAAAACTGCAACAAGAAGGGGATCAAAACTGGCTTTGGTGTGTTAAAGTTGCACCTCAAAAATGGATTTTGAATCATATATATATATATATATATATTTTTTTTACAGATATGTATATTTTGTTTTACTTTTGATAGTTACTGTCAGCTGTGTTAAAGGGATAGTTCACCTAAAAATCTAAATTCTGTCATTTACTCAGCTTCATGAAAGTCAGTGGCTTCCATCGACTGTTTGGTTACCATCATTCTTCAAAGTATCTTTTTGGTGCTTGAGGAAAAAAAAGAAACTCATACAGGTTTGGAATGACATGAGGGTTAGTAAATGATGACAGAATTTTCATTTTTGTGGGAACTATCCCTTTAAATAAGCCTTATTTTACCTGTTGACTGTTTATGTAAGACCATAAGTATTGTTTGTTTGATTAGTGGTGGCTTTTTAATCATCTAATGTTATCATGGACTTGGCATTCATGGATAATCTTAGCATCTTAGCTAGGGATGCACCGAAAATTATCGGCCAAAAATGGCATTTTTGTTTTTTGTCCGAAAGAGAAAAACGGCCGAAAATGTATGGCACACCTTCCAGCAGTGTTCAGTGCGCATGTTTCACTTTCCCTCTAGCCATCGTCAATGCGCGGTGTGACGCTCCGCTCAGTATTCCGCTCTATGAATGTGCGTTCCGTTGAGTTGCTCACTGCCCATGTGAATGCTCCACTCGTGTACCGCTCATGCTCACCAGAAAAGCAAAGTCCGCTCAAATAACGCGCAGACAGGAGATTTCTATGTAGTAGCTATACTTGCATACATGGCAACGCTGGTAAAATGACGCTACCGTCTCGTGACGCACACCTAAAATTCGAATGCAACGTTTTTGCATTCGAATGTGGATTTTTATTTTAAATTTGACAAATTTTAAATTAGAATTATTTTTTTTTGATAGCCCTAATATGCCACACCGCACCGCCTGTCAGTGTTCAGCGGGCATGTTTCATTCTCCCTCTAGCCGTCATCACTGCGCGATGTGACGCTCCGCTCAACATTCCACGCCATTCCATGCGTGCTCCACTCGTGTACCGCTCATGCTCACCAGAAAAGCAAAGTCCGCTCAAATAACGCGCAGACAGGAGATTTCTATGTAGTAGCTATACTTGCATACATGGCAACGCTGGTAAAATGACGCTACCGTCTCGTGACACTATGCTCTGCTCACATGCTCTGATAATAATAGCTTTGTAGGACTATAAATTGTTTTAATAATGAAAAAAAAAATCTGTTAAATCTGATTCTGTTGCATAGAACTGAATAAAAATATGCTGTGGTACTGCGGGTTACACCAGCAACATGCCTGTGGACACTGCTGACTAGCGGTTTGCATGTGTACTGCACGTTGACGCGGACAACGACGCAGAAGTATAAATGAAAACTGACGCATAGCCTACGGCGTAAAGGCTACGGCATAGGTCCAACGCAGAAGTATAAATTAGCCTTAAGAGAGTCAGATTTATTCGCCAAGTGTTTGGAATTTGTTGGAAATTTTGGAAAAGCGCTTGGTACAAACATACATATATGACATTGAGAACAGAAAGAATATTTAAATAAGTAAGACTAAGAAAAACAAAACAAAACAAAAAATAAATCGCCTCTTACGTTGCGTCTTCCGCTATGCCTACGTCATACACTCGAGCGCCTTGTCGTGAATGCATCTGCTTGAGCGACCGGAAGCTGGAGATTACAGTTTATACATTTTTAAAAATCAATATTTTTCTTACACTAACGCATCGTTTCACTTCAGAAGGCCTTTATTAACACCCCAGAGCCGTGTGTAGTAGTTTTATGATGGATGGATGCAGGTTTTTAGGCTTCAAAAACAGGGGCATCATTTACTGCCATTATACAGTTTTGAAGACCCAGGACATTTTTAAATATAGCTGCAATTGTGTTCGTCTAAAAGAGGAATGTCAGATATGCCTAGGAAGACTTGTTTCTGGACTGGAAGCAGAATGCGTACGAGGTGATAGTGAGGCTGAACTGTGAAGATGCTGGGGTGCTGAGAGTGGAAGATATCGATTATGCCTTTTCCGATTCCGCCTGCCACATCCGTCTGCCGGGTAAGGACATTATGTGTGCTTGTGTCTGATTTGGTCCATGTTGGTCTTTTTTGTCAGTGTTGAATGTACACTATTGCTCAATTTATTTCTGATGGATTATGAATCCATCATGGGCTAATTTTCATTTTTGGGTGAACTATCCCTTTAACTTCACAGAACCAAAAGAAGGCTAATTCTAAACACTGACACTGATGTTGTCTGGCAGTGTTTTCAGTTTACAATTACAGATGATGTTTGAGACCCGTTACTACTGACTGTTGGCAAGTGTACATGAGCGTTTTGTTTGTTTAGTCCCCCTGTGCCAGTCTGTGTCTAGGGCTGTGCCCTTTCTGCTGAGTGTGTTTTGCCTCTGCAGTGCTGTGCTGAGTGCTAAAGTGTTGTAATCTAAGCCTGTGAGTCTCTGCTTCAGTGAAGAAGGGCTTTGTCAAGGTCAGTGGAGTGGCTCTGCCCAGCACATGCATGAGAAGATTTCCCTCAGAGTATTCCTCACACTCCCTTCATTTACTCGCTGCCCTCATTGCCCTCTCTACATGCATTTGATATAGGTGCGCCATTGTCTTCCTCTTGTCGAGGTGTCGTGTTTCATCTTGGCAAGACGGGAAGGCAGAGCACCATCCCTAAACGAACGGCGGGAGAAGCCTATCTCTGTAGTGCTGATTCCCGTCATGTAAGGGGGGCTCATGGGATACTGGCAGATGACATCACGTGGAATAGAAGCCCAGCTGTGGGGCGTGGTGGCTTTTTGATGACCTTTTAGATCTGTGTGTCTCAGCAAGAGAGAGAGTAACGGGACGGGACTAGCTGTCACTTGACCCTGAAGCCTGATCCTTAGAGATAAACACGCTCTCTTTCTCGCTCTTTCCTGCTTACTCTGACCTGTTCGCTAACATGCACCAAAGTTAAACTCTGTAACAGAGCAGTTTGAAATCAAAGGGAGTCTGGCTTTCTACTATGACTGGCTATCAGACTGTGTAGCATTATCATGAAATCAGGTTTGATTTTGCTTTATTAGTTTGTAGTAATCCTTTGTCTATTATTTGTACATAAATGTTCTTTTGTTTTCCCTGTTCTATGTTCTAATGTTCTTTGCTTATGGAATAATACATTTAATTACAGTCAGTGTTATTAGGTAATTTGTTTCTGAACAATCCAGCCTACATGAATGTTCTTTTGTTTGTGTAGATTTGTTTGTGGACTGGAAGCAGAATGCGTACGAGGTGATAGTGAGGCTGAACTGTGAAGATGCTGGGGTGCTGAGAGTGGAAGATATCGATTATGCCTTTTCCGATTCCGCCTGCCACATCCGTCTGCCGGGTAAGGACATTATGTGTGCTTGTGTCTGATTTGGTCCATGTTGGTCTTTTTTGTCAGTGTTGAATGTACACTATTGCTCAATTCATTTCTGATGGATTATGAATCCGTTAAATCTGATTCTGTTGCATAGAACTGAATAAAAATAATATATTGATATTTAATATGAATATATTTTCTGTCCAATTTTATTGTTTTACTTTCAATAAACGTGTGGTTATTTTATTGGCTTGTATTTTTTCAGTATCATTAAAATGATTGAGTTAAATTAAAAAGTTTTACAAAATTATTTTATATTATTTTATAAAATAATAAATAATTATTAAAAAGCATTTTCGCTTTCAGATTTTGTGCATCCAGAATTTTTGGTTTCGGTTTCGGCCGACTTCAACTTCTTAGACTTAGTTGAATATACTTAAGTTGACCAGTCTAGAGAGAGATGGATATTGCTTTATGACAGATACAGAATATTGATATTTGACAATATTACTGTTCTTACTGTGTTTTTGATCAAATAATTGCAGCAATGGTGAGCAAATGAGTCATCTTTCAAAGATATAAAAAAATCTTAAAGGGGTCCTATTATTCTCTTTTACAAAGTCTTGATTTTGTTTTGGGGGTGTTCTAGAACAGGCTCTCATACTAGGTTGTTCGAAAAACATTATTTTTACATTGTGACACATGTTACATTATTGCAACACCTCTCTCCCCAGTCTGGCATGAACGGCTGGAATAGTTCCTGTATCAAATGAAGGCCCGCCTTCTGAAATACGAAATGTGCTGTGATTGGTTAGCTGGGCCAGTGTGTGTTGTGATTGGCAGCACTCGGCGCCTGGTCGGGAAATGTCATGCCCCTTACCATAGCCGCCTGCCAGCTTCAGTGTAAATATTGTGTCAAAATCAAATCAATTTTAGCGTGATTTAAACCCAGATGATTGTAACCACTCTCAGATTGTCTGCCTTGGGAAAGCTAGCGTGTCTCCAACATAGTGATAACCCTCGTTGCCTTCTCTAGTGCAGCTCAACCAGGTCTCGTCCCATTCGTCGATATTTGTGATATCACAAATCCCGGAAAATATGCGTTGTAGTCCAAACGAGTCGTTCGTTGTAGTTTTTGAAAAGTGATTTCTGTTAAATAAAATATCTCCTTTTGAAGTGGACTTTGAACTTTGTAACTTTGCAGATCTTTTTTATGCTCAAACAGCAACATTACAGACTAACTAAAGTTGAAAAAGTGAAAAAGCATAATAGAACCCCTTTAATGATCCCAAGCTTTTTAAAAGTAGTTTTTATACGGTTTTTAATTTTTTTTTCCTTAGATGGCCATGAATGGAGCTGTCATCTCCATGAAGAGATTGAAGCCTCATGCAGTAAACTGCTTTATAAGGAGAAAATAAAAGTTCTGCAGCTTGTCATGCACAAGAAGATCCCCCTCAACACATGGCCCACCTTTGCTGTAAGAACACAGACGTTCTTTTTGCATTTTTATTTTGTGCAATTACTAAAAATGTAATTACTAAAAAGATTGGTTTATTTAGACATATTTTTGCAAAAAATATATCTCATATATTATATATTGAATGTTATATATCAAATATTAAATCATACACGTTATATCATTATATTGGTCTGTGATTTTGTTTTTGTTTTTTTAAGTTTTTAGTAATCATATTGGTCTGTAAAGAACAATAAAGAACAATATCAGATCTGTATGGCCATGCACATATGCAGCTTTGAGCATTCTGGTCAGAGATCAAAATGCAGCTTTGAGTTTTCCTGGTCAGAGATCCCTCAACCAAGCTTTATTTATTTATGTTCCCCATTAAACAGAACAAGAAAAAGACGGAAAAGGTAAACATCCTTAGAGAGAATGGCAGCAACCACCACCAGTCAACCACAGGGCAGTCTGAAAAATCTGGCGAAATCATTGAGAAAATGCCCACAGTGACCACTGCTGAGCAGAAACGAGGTAAACCTGACCGAGGGTTAAAGCGAGGGATGAAAGGCAAACAGATGGAGCTCACCGAGAGCACAGGTGTGAAGGTAGCTGAGATTAAATCAAGTGATAAAGCAGACCCGATCAATGAGCCCAGCACAAAGCGCACCACACGACCCTCCAGAAACACAAAGGAGCCCCAACTAGCTCCCTGCTCGACAAAGGAGTCTCAGTCCAAACAAGCAGTTAATGGAAAAACACATTCGTTAACTGTGAGCAGTGGTGCCTCTTCAGCTAGTAATTCAAAAGACAACAGGGTTCAGATGCAGGTCAAAGGTCAAGGATGCCAGGCATCACCAAGAGAAAAAGAGATGGACAGGAGGCCAAAAAGCAATGATCAGGTGAGACTAATAATTCACTTGAAAGTGAAAACAATCAGCAGGAAATGAAATGGTGGAAAAGAGTCTCTCACATCCTGTTGTCCATCCTTTGTGTTCTTTACAGGTTGAGGAAAATGAAAGTAAGACTGTTTCCTCAGTGTGTGAGCTGAAGGTGGCACAGCAGGAGAGTTCTCCTCTAGTGAAAATGCACACTGGGAACATAGCAGCTGATGAGCGAGAAAACAGAAAAGATGAAAAGAAGCCACAGGTTGATGCCCAGATCCCTAAAATGCTTCCATCTCATGATTTGGTATCTGGAGCGCCTGTTTCAACAGCCTCTAAGAGAGAGGAGTCCCCTCAAAAGAGCTGCACAGAGGAGAAGAAAGACAAGTCCAAGGAGGATCCACATGGAGGGAGCCAAGAGGAGGATACAGAAGGTCAGTTAAGAACAATTGTTGCAGCATGTTGTTCAGTCAGAGCACAACATTAGAGTATAGAGTACAGTTCAAAAGTTTGGGGTTGGTAAGGTTTTGTTTTTCTTTCTTTCACATTAATTTGATAAAGTGACAGTTCACTCTCCGTCAAGCGATCTGTGCTGTTTTTTAGTTCATCTCAATAGATGCGTATTGTACCTGTATTTGACGTTCCAGAAACTAGTGTGAAGGCGCACGACTCGCTGTTGCTTTGCTGAGAGCACTGTTTTTCACACACATGCAAAGAAAGAGAGAGAGTGAGCAAGAGAGTCCATGCAGAATTGACACGCTACATGAAAACGTTATTCTGTGTTGTATTTTCCTGTCAAAATAACAGAGTTCATTTGGAATTCTTCAGCTTTTAAGAACAATCATAAGATACTGCCGGTTTCTCCAGTAGTGGGTGGAATTAATGCACAGATGGCAATCTCATTGGCTGGTGCTCCTCTATTAGATGCTTCATTGATCCTTTATAGGAAATTACATTTTCACTGCAGCTTTAACGCACAAAAAACACAACACCACACATAACAAACAAGTAATTTCCAACTCAACAGATATACAATAGAAAAATTAGAAAGAAATAATATATAACAATTAACAAGAAAATAAAATGCATATAATAACATAAGTGCAAAACTAAACTGTACTTGGTCTTTACTATATATACAGTACCAATAATTCTTGTTATTATCATAACACGTTAAATAATCTGATAGCCACAGATAGGACTTTCTGCCGTGCTCAGACTTGCACTTTGGTGTGATCAGTCTGTGACTGAAGGCGCTGCTGTTGATCACCCCCCATGGTGTGGAGTGGATGTGAGGGATTGTTCATTATCGATCTCAGCTTCAAGAGCTTGTTGACTAATGTTTAGTCGACTGTTAGGGGGCAGCCCTAGTTTACTATACTTTATTTCTCATGATTGATTTGTGTTAAGGTCCGGAGCCGATGGTGAACTTGAAGTTTGTGAAGAATGACTCTTATGAGAAAGGGACAGACCTGATGGTTGTTAATGTCTACATGAAAGAAATCTGCCGGCAGACGTCCAGGGTGTTGTTCAGGGAACAAGACTTCACTCTTGTCTTCCAGACCAGGTGAGAGAGTCATCAACACACAGTGTCTAGAATAAAGATTCCAACTCTTACATTTACACTAATTGTTGAAACTATTCACAGTGATCCCAACTTTTTGCGCCTTCATCCGGATTGTGGACCAAACACTGTCTTTAAATGGCAGGTTAAACTACGGTAAGATTTTGTGATGGGCATCCTAATCTCCATCAATCCACTGGTCAAGTGTATGTTTCTGAGGGTTTGTTCATTGGTCCCGTCTACTGATGTTTCAGGAATCTAATTCAGCCAGATCAGTCCAGCTATGCCTTCACACCGTCCCGTATCGACATCACCCTGAAGAAAAGACACAGTCAGCGCTGGGGAGGTCTGGAGGCACCTGCCACACAAGGTCTGCTGCCTGGATTCTATTTGCTTCTGAGCAATCTTTTACAAGCAAACACACATTATTTTGTCTACATTTATGATACTATATAGCATTAGCTGCATGAGCAGTGTGTCCATGGCTAAGGTTTGGCTGGATAAGAACAGCTAGACCCTTGATCTTTTCAGAGAGCTCTGACGTGTGATAGGAAGCATACATGAGATGATTACTGTGGAAAAAGCAGGACTGTTTTTGTTTACATGTTGAAACGAGGGCATGGTCAAGAAGAGGAATGTGACTTCAGGGAGTGATCCAGTAACTCAATACGAGTGTGAGACAGGGTCACGCCAAATGTGCCTATGTGTTTTTGTTAGGGATGCTCATATTGACCGATTAACCGTTAACCGAAAGTAAGAAATTTGACCAATTAATTCTATCCTTTAAACATTTTAAAAGATTTTAAAAGTATTTTTTTTTCCAAGTGTTTTTTTTTTTTAAGTTTGCTGCATTATTAAAGAAAAATATTCTATAGATATTTCTTAATTCAAGGTGGTGTGTCGATACGTGCAACCACACATGCCTACATATTTTGCTGCATGCACCTCCACTTTCACTTACCTGAAGTAGTAAAGGCAACACAATGGAAAAAGGCAATATTAAATAAATGGTTATCAGAGAGTGAATCCGTGGGTGAATGTATTCAAGTTCTGAATGGGTTATATCCTAGAAAGCGCGCAAAAGGGCGTTCCCCCTTATAATCATTGAAAAGCTGTCACTCGTCTCTTCGTTCTTCACAATCTCACCGTTCCGTTATAATCAAGTCAAGTCACCTTTATTTGTATAGCGCTTTATACAATACTCGTTGTGTCAAAGCAGCTTTATAGTGTTAAACAGGAAAATAGTTTGTCAATGAAGATCTACACTACTGCACAATTAATCTCTTCTTTACATCGTGTGTACCTCTGACTGGCCATTGTGTTCATGAAATCAACAGATATGTCTGTGATTGACTACAATGCTCAACGCTGCAGAAACCGATGTTTTCTGCCACAGAACAGGCTGCACTCCAGACTAGGGATGCACGATATTATCAGAACATTATCAGAATCGACCGATAATGATATATAAATATCGGCATCGGCCCGATATAAAAGATTTCGCCAATATGCCTTGCCGATAAATACGAATAACTCGCATGTGCTCAGGGTGTTTTAGCGATAAGATCACGTCAGCAGTGTTGTCATTCTTGAAGCAAACTTTTTCCTGAATGATGATTAGATTCACTGTTTTGGATCGCCACATTTAATCAGAGAATGCAGATAAAGAATGGCGTGTTCGTTGTGCAATAGTCAAAAGTTACTAGTGCGTGCATTTATCGCAGCAGCAGCCTCCCCCCGGGCCTTAAGGCCCGTCCTTTAAGGCTTTTTATTTACGTAGGGGGCGCTGTTGGCCTACTTGTAATAAAATTAGTGCCCTATGATTTCCGCGATTCAGAAAACGCAGACAGAATAGCGGAATCCTGTCATAAAAATGGAATTTACTGTATAACGCGGAATGTCACGGAATTGGCCAAATTTTGGATTAATAAATCAAAAGTAGGTCAGTGCATTTAAATCAAAACGATTTGGACTAGTGTCTGTGAATATTAAGCCACAAAAATATGATTTAAATATGAATCCTGCATGTTCTGCGTGTCTCTGTATGAATGAATGGTGCAGAGGCGTGGTTTCATTTACTACACACATACTGAAGCACATCATCTCATATACAAATAGAAACTTAAAGGTCTTCACAGCAACCCATCAAAATAAAAGTTTGTTTTAACCTGAAGAAACTGTGACAAATATATTACTTTATGTCATGATTGTAGTACTACTGCTACTACAAATAAAAGTATTATTAAAACAATTTTTTAGTTAGGGTTAGGGTTAGGGGGGGGGGGGGGGGGAAATAGGGCCCTAAAAGTGAAATTTTTGTTAAACTTTTAATAAATTGTTTTTAAATTGTGTAAATTTCATGATTTCAATTATACATGCTTTTTAATACAATTTAATTTAACCATTAAAACAGAGTCCAGAAAAATTAAAACGGAATTTGGAAAAAAATAATATGGAATATGGGAAAAAATAAAACGGATTTCTTATGGCCCTATAAAATAAAAGTAAAATAATACACAAATAACATTAAGATTGTGTTTATGATTAAATAAAGCAGTAATTGATGTCATAAAATCACGAGTATGTTTTGATTTAAAGGTCAGAAGCTGTAGCTTACTTGAATAAAAATCACAAATATGACGCTCAAAATTAAATAATTTTATATATACAGTTTTACTCATTAATGTGTAATATGATTTTTTTTCCCCCAAACGGATTATGAAAACTTAAATACAAGGAGCTCTAAAAGATTTTCAGATTTTTTTACAAATCCTTTGCTTTAGACCATCTACAAATGTTGAATCATTTACAAATGTTACCACTGCATCTGTTTGGGAAAAAAAGTGATTTGATTTATAGTTATTTTCAAAGCTTTCAATGTACTCTCAGTATTAAAGAACTTAATTATTGTTTATTTAATTCTAATAAGTAAGTTTTTGTTAGACACTAACAAAAATTAAAAATAATTTGTTTAAAATCTCTGCACAGGAGAGACTTGGTGTTGTTAACAAACAAAAGGAAATATATCGGTATCGGCATTGATTATCGGCCAAAATGAGTTGAAAAATAATGGCATATCAGATAACAAAGCAAAAATCCAATATCGTGCATCCCTACTCCAGACTATGCCCCACAGCAATTTTTTTTTAAAATAAAAGCTACACAAGTTGTGTTCTAAGGTAGACCTGCTATTTATTTTTATCCCTGATGAAAAACATGCGGTTTTTCAAATAGCGTCTAAGGATTCAGTGTGTGTTTTCGTTTTGTCATCTTAATTTGTTAATTATTTAAGTGAAAAATATTTAGTGTAGGCCTATTTATTTTATTCTTTTTATTTATATTATTTTATTCTGTTTTTCTTTGTTCTCAGAAGTGCTGCAGGTGCGTGATAATTCAGATGCAGGTGCGTGATAATTCAGATATGTGTGAATTCAGGTTCTGTTGTTGCTGTATTGTTCTGTATCCTGCTGTTTGCACATGTTAAAATAACCCAGTTGGGAAAAAAAAAAAAAATATATATATATATATATATAATTTTTATTTTCTTTTATTTTTTATTGTTTTAATGAGTCACAGACACTCGTCCATTCGATTATTTATTTAATACTAATTTAATGTTCTTATCTTATCAGTTAAAAGTTAATTTTCGGATAACGAGCGGCGGTTGTCAGTCGGGAAAATTAACTGAAATGAGCATCCCTAGTTCTTGTGTTGGTGCCAGGCTGCTGACCCACACTGCTCTACATAGCCTTCTCCCAAATATAGCTGCCACTCTAACATTGCATTTTACTAGAGCTGTGACGATCTGTTTATATATTGATATTGAGGTTTATATATTGAATTGCCACTTTAGATCCTTAGTTCAAAATGTATTTGTTTATATTGATGAAACCGTATGAGAGAGAATGGCATCATCCCGCAAATTGATTCAACACATTTTGTTCAGATTCAGGTCTGATAAATTCAGAAAGAGTTTCAATATAGCGATGTGTCCCAAATTAATTGTATCATGATTGTTCAGTTATGGTTATGTTAATTCACATCATATACACTTACACTCCTGTTTCAAAGGCCACACACATGTTTGTTGATCTCTACAACGCAATGGCCAATCAGAAGTGTTTAAGTTAGAATCAAGTCACCGCTCAAAACCCTGGAGTTTTTGTTCAGAATGCTGCCTGCTCATGCTAATCCTTCCTCATTAACAACGACACGACATAAGAGATTCATTATGCAGTGTAGACAACTTTATTGATTTTAATGGAATGTTGTGAGATCGCGAAATGAGATGAGTGACAGCTCTCTAGAAATTGCAAAGTGAGTGGATAAAAGTATAAATTAATTGAATAAAAGTATTGTTTTTCATGCTATCCAGAGGACCGACGGCCAGTTACGCACTGCAGAGTTTTGGAAATCACATCTACATATAATTGCGTGATTCACTCCTGAAAATGCAATCGACAGTGATACTAGCACGGGACAAGAATATGGCATGTCAAAATTGATGCCAACAATGTAAATGCAGACTAATAGATTACAAAAAAAAAAAAATTGTAGCAATATATTTTTAAAAAATTCCATTCCAAATATATCTAAAAGTAATGACTTGTTGTAAATAATCTTAAATGTCTCATTGTACATTGCTATTTTTGTTATGGTGGAGCCATTGCTTATATATTACATCTGCACTTTACTAGAGTAAAGTCCATCTGATTAGTAAAATTAAAATGTATGACCCCGCAAATCCATTAATTACAACAACTGCATACAACAAATGAATTGTGATTTTTACCGTATCATTTTGTTTATGATGCATAAAAGTCCGTTTTAACAGTGAAAAGTAATATACGGACAGTGATGCATGTGCAACATGTGCATAGTTCTGATCTACTTAAAGGGTTAGTTCACCCAAAAATGAAAATTGGCTTGTGTTTTACTCACCCTCGAAGCATCCTAGGTGTATATGACTTTCTTCTTTCAGACGAATCCAGTCGTAGTTATATAAAAAATTGTCCTGGCTATTCCAAGCTCTATCATTGCAGTCAGTGGGTGTCACAGTTGAACAGTCCACAAGTCCTCAAATAAAGGATGAAGTAGCACGTATGCGCAGCGCGCACGCACTTCTGAGATATGCTAGTCTCGCAAGTTTGTTTATAGGAGCAAAGGAAGCAAAGTTTCCTTATTTTAGAAAAGGAAAACCAGTCTTCTCTTGGCTTATGTCGAAATCCTCCGACATTTTTCTTTGCAAATCTTCGGTTTGTACTTCTAATTCGTGACCAGCGTTTTGTTTTGTTGTCTCTCCGCGTTCCTCACTAATCATGCAACACCGACGTGCTACTTCATCTGCCGGAACGGCTTCCGCTTATGACAGTTGGCGGAAGTAATATAAAAGTGTTTATTACGTTTGAAATATGGATATTTTTCTTACAAAAACGCATGGATTCACTACAGAAGGCCTTTATTCAGCCCCCGGAGCCATGTGAAGCACGTTTTATTATGAATGCGCGCACTTTATTTGAGGACTTGTGGACTGTTCAGTAGAGCTTGGAATAGCTAGGACAATTTTTAATATAACTCCGACTGGATTCGTCTGAAAGAAGAAAGTCATATACACCTGGGATGCTTCGAGGGTGAGTAAAACATGGGCCAATTTTAATTTTTGGGTGAACTAACCCTTTAATATAACGTCTTAATCATAATATGGTTAGTTTCTATTAATATTGAAAAACGTTGAAGACCCCTGCATTAAATTGATCAAAAGTGATTGTAAAGACATTTATAATGGTGCTAAAAGATTTCTGTTTCTAATAAATGCTGATCTTTTGAATTTATGTTCGTTAAGGGATCCTGAAAAATATATATCACAGTTTCCACAAAAATATTCATATTAGAATCAACATATTAGACTGATTTCTGAAGGATCATGTGACACTGACGACTGGAGTAATAGCTACTTAAAATTCAGCTTTGCATCACAGAATAAATTACATTTTAAAATGTATTAAAATGGAAATCATTTATTTTAAATTGTAATATGTGACCGTGGACCACAAAACCAGTCATAAGGGTCAGTTTTTTGAAATGGAGATTTATACATCACCGGAAAGCTGAATAAATAAGCTTTCCATTGATGTATGTTTTGTTATAGGACAATATTTGGCCGAGATACAACTATTTGAAAATCTGGAATATGACGGTGCCAAAAAATAAAAAAATAAAAATACTGAGAAAATCGCCTTTAAAGTTGTCCAAATGAAGTTCTTAGCAATGCATATTACTAATCAAAAATTAAGTTTTGATATATTTACGGTAGGAAATTTACAAAATATCTTCATGGAACATGATCTTTACTTAATATCCTAATGATTTTTGGCATAAAAGAAAAATCTATAATTTTGACCCATACAATGTTTTGTTGGCTATTGCTAAAAATATACCCAAGTGACTTAAGACTGGTTTTGTGGTCCAGGGTCACATATTTCACTATTACTGTTTCTACAGCATTTTTTTGATCAAATATATGCAGCCTTGGTGAGCATAATAGTTGTTAATAGTGATCATAATATTAGAAGCCATGGTCTTTAGCTGCTAACCACAAGCTCTATTGTCATCTGTTTAAGGTGCAGTGGGGGGCGCCAAGGTTGCTGTGCCCTCCAGCCCTTCTACACTTGAAAAGAGCCAGCCAGGAAGCAGCAAGCATGCACTTCCTGCTAAAGAAGAACCACGAGTGGGAGAGGAGAAAGTCAAACCCCCTCGAGCCCCAGAGGACTCCCTCAAACAGGAACCAACTGTTGCTACGGTAATAATGAGTGCATTGTCTGTTTGTCACATATGATGGTCTAGTGTGCTAAAACTGGTCTCAGGACTATTAGTTATGACTTGCCCTTTCTTTGTCCACAGCCCAAGCCCACCTGCATGGTGCAGCCCATGACTCACACTCCTCCTGCAGGCAGTGAGAGAGCTGAAGAAGTGGAGGAGAAGAAAGTGTGTCTCCCCGGCTTCACTGGACTGGTCAATCTGGGAAACACTTGCTTTATGAACAGTGTGATCCAGTCCCTCTCCAACACACAGGAGCTCAGGGATTATTTCCATGGTCAGTGGCAATTTGATTGATGAGAATTGCTTCTTTGTCGTATGGTTGTGTGTTCTACCCAGGTGTGTGGTTTTGTGGTGTTTGTTATTTCCAGACCGGGGTTTTGAGTCCGAGATTAACTGTAATAATCCATTGGGCACGGGTGGACGGCTGGCCATTAGCTTTGCTGTTCTGCTTCGAGCGCTGTGGAAGGGCACTCACCACGCATTTCAACCCTCCAAATTAAAGGTATCCATGCAGCAACAAATCTCTCCTCTTATACCATATCTTTTAGTTTCCAATATGTAACTATGTAAGTAACCCATAATAACAGTGTTTTTTTTTTTCTTCTCTTCATAGGCTATAGTTGCCAGTAAGGCCAGTCAGTTTACAGGCTACGCACAGCATGATGCTCAGGAGTTCATGGCTTTCTTGCTGGATGGGCTGCATGAGGACCTGAACCGCATCCAAAACAAACCATATACAGAGACCGTTGATTCAGATGGCCATCAGGATGAAGTGAGTTCTTGTTTTTGTCTCAGAATGGACTGCATATACTGCATCCTTGGATATGTAGCAGAGTGTGTTGCTAATAAGCATGTCCAATAGAGTCCAAAGGTCTGAGACCACACTGGCAATCTGTGATTCAGAATCTAATTTATATCTGACAGTTGACAAAGCATTATGATGTAAAATGGATAGGAAAGATTCTGTGCTATGCCATTAATCAAATAATTGAATATGCGACATTTGAGCATGTGAATTAAAAAACCAAGACAGACCAAAATAATAAATAAAGAAATCTGAAAGTAACGAAAAATCTCAATATGTTTGTGTCATGTGAAGTGATAAGTCGCCACAGGAGACTTTTCCATGATAATAAATCTTTGAAAATTGTTCTTATTTGTGGTTGGCAGGTTGTTGCAGAAGAGGCGTGGCAGAGGCATAAAATGAGGAATGATTCCTTCATTGTTGACCTCTTTCAGGGCCAGTACAAGTCAAAGCTGGTGTGTCCCGTGTGTTCTAAGGTAATACATCAAGAGCTATGGTTCAAATTAATAAAGTCAGTAAAAACTGTGAAATATTGCAATTTAGAATTACTGTATTATATTTTTTATTGTGTTATATGTAATTTATTCCTGTGATGGTAAAGCTGAGTTTTCAGCATCATTACGCCAGTCTTCAGTGTGACATGATTATTCAGAAACCATTCTAATACGCTGATTTGCTGCTTAACAAACATTTCTTATTATCAGTGTTTAAAACAGTTGTGCTGGATAATTTTTGTGGATTTGATTTTTGTGGAAACATTTCAGGATTCTTTGAATAGAACATTCAAACACCATAATTTATTTAGAATATAAATCATTTGTAACATTATAAATGTCTTTACTGTGACTTTTGATCAATTTAATGCATCCTTGCTGAATAGAAGCATCAGTTTCTTAAAAAAAAATCTTGCCGACCCGAAACGTTTGAACAGTAGTGTATGTGTAATGTTATTATAAAAACTGGCAAAAGTTTCCTTCATGTCTTATGACAGTTTGAATTAGGGATGTCAATTTTCGATCATTTCCATGATCGATCGTTGTTTAAATTAACGATCAATTAATCGATTAATCGTTAACCTTAATGCTGCAAAATGCGTCTATGCAGCCCAGCATGACAGGATGTGCAAAAGTTACTCAAAAAAAAAAAAAACGCTTTCTCACCCAATTTAAAGGGGATTTAGTTTGAATAAAATGCTAGTAACTTAGCAGGATCGTAAAATTAATAGATGTGATTAATTCGGCACAAATCCAAATGTTTCCATATTCGTAATGTATTTGAATGTTAAACTATTATTTGTAATGTCAACTAGGTTTGTACTTTACACGCATTCGCGTATAGACGGAAAAGATCGTCCTCTTCACATGAGCAAAAAAGCATGGGTTATTTAAGGAACAAAATTAATGAAACATGGACAGTGGCCACAAATTAATAAGTCGTAGGAACGAATTAGCAATTTGTAGGAATGAATAGCCTATCTGTCCTGTGTCCCACAGCCCTGCAAAGCGCAGAGCCCGATATGAAAGAATTATCTGCGGAAATGACTTAATTACTACATTTCTATTGCTTTCCATGTTGAAGAACTTTGTGTTGTTTCTATTTTAATGTACTTTTAAAGTTTAAATCACATTAAAAGCTTAATTTGTACATTATGAGTGAATGATGATGCATTTATATACCGTCACCGTCACTCACAGCCGCTCGCACGTGTTTTGCGCATGAGCCGCACGCAGCCCAAAATTAAACAGCTTAATCGACCGTCGATAGCTTTAATCGATTGCATCTCTTATCGACAATTAATCGATCATCGATTAATCGTTGACATCCCTAATTTGAATGAGTCAGTGATACAGGTATTGATGCTGAGCCAAGAGGTCCCTGCTTTAAGTCTTCCATGTGTTTTGAAACGTTTATCACTTTTGATGGTGTTGGGGTAGATAATTATATTTTTCAGTATCTCTTAGCAATATGGTTGTTGGAGTTTTCTCATCTGTTTTTTTTTTTTTATTAAGGTTTCCATAACCTTTGACCCCTTCCTGTACTTGCCTGTCCCCCTACCTCAAAAGCAGAAAGTGTTGACTGTTTTCTATTTCGCTAAAGAGCCTCACAAGAAACCAGTCAAGGTACACAAAACAACTTTCTGAAGTTCTTAAGTAAGCCTGTGCACAAAAGGCTCAGATTGTTCAACCTTATTTAAATGGACATTCTTTTTTATAAATATTTGACCTAAACATTTTGCTTGTGTAGTTTTTGGTCAGTGTGAGTAAAGAGAACTCGAGCACGGCTGAAGTACTGGAGTCAATATCTCGCAGTGTGAGGATCAAACCAGAGAACCTGTGGCTGGCAGAGGTATGATGATTCTGTTCTGAATATTAGTTTTATCTTAATTATCTAGTTAGAATTGCTGGAAGCCTCTTTCACAATTGAAAATAACATTTGGTAAATCAACCAGATCTACTGATGTGTGTCTTGTGACGTTCATAAATTTTGTTCTTCATTAATAGATAGTGTTCCCTCAATATTTTCTCTCAGGTGGTGAAGAACAGGTTCCACAGAATCTTCTCACCGTCTCAATCTTTAGACACAGTCTCTTCCAGTGACCTGCTCTTCTGCTTTGAGGTGTTGTCTAAAGATCTTGCCAAAGAGAGAGTGGTGCTGCTGAAGGTCCAACAGGTATACCATTTTTGTAACTCTTCTTATTTTCCTAGGTTTTGTGGATTTTCTTGCTGTGATATAATGTATTGATTGTGTCTTTGTATTGATCTTCAGAGACCTCTGGTTCCAAGCATCCCAATTACAAAGTGCGCTGGCTGCATGAAGCCTCCTGCCTCTGACGACGAGAAGCTCAAGCGCTGTACTCGCTGTTACCGTGTCGGCTACTGTAATCAGTGAGTTTTCATCTATTCATTAAAATAGATGTGCTGTGCTGGCTCTGAGATCATGCTTGGGATTTAGAGACTTTGCCTTGGCTAGTTGGTGTTAAGTTTCTTTCCTCTGATTACAGGGCCTGCCAGAAGAACCACTGGCTCAATCACAAGACCACATGCCGGCCCAATGTGGAGAATATTGGATTGCCGTTTTTAATTAGTGTGCCTGAGTCTAGGCTGACTTACTCCCGCCTGACACAGCTTCTGGAAGGCTACTCTAGGTATGATTATCTCTTCGCCATGCATGTAATTTGTGGATTAATTGCAATATTTAACCATCATAAAGTGAAAGCTTATCATTTGTACTTGTACACATTCAAGTGATTTTAAACCATTCCAGCACAAGTAGAGGCAAAAGAGAACTCAATTCGGTTCGGATGTGTATTAATTGAACGAAAACAACTGAGAAAGAAATCGCATGTGTATAATTATATTGGATCTGTGCTTCAGGTCTTAAAGGGACAGCAGCCTATAAATACCTGCTGCTGTCTGTCGTTAATGTTAATCAAACAACAAAACTGCTTTAACAAAGATTAATATATATTTAACTTATACAGTGAACACTGTGCACTGTACCTTATTAAATTGCTGTACCTGAATGTTAGACCTTATTTTATTTGTAACTTATTATATTTATCTATGCTTGTGTATTCTTTTTTCTTTTTTTTTTGTTTTGTTTTTTTTTTTTTTTTTTTTTTTTTTTTTTTTTTTTTTTTTTTTTTTTTGCTGTGGTAGTGAATAAGTACTTAAAGTGTGCTTTAATAAATGGAAAGCAAAGTTACATTGATATAAATTTTCTTTTTCTTGCTTTAAGTTTTATATTTTATACATTTTTATATACTTATTTACTAGCCTTATATTTTATAGCATTTTTATAGAATTTTATGTGTTTATTATAGCATTATTTTTATTTAAATTTACATCAGTTTTGTATTTTATATACATACTTTTATAACATTAACAGCATTTTATTTATTGTTATTTATTGTTTATTTTTTTGTCTGTGTAGTTATTACAGCATTTATTTATAAATTATTTATTTGTTTAGATTGGAATATTCTGACATAAAGTAAAATCTTTTGACTAGGAACGAGCAGCACTGTGTAACCCTTCGTTTCTGTGTGCAGGTACTCTGTCAATGTGTTCCAGCCACCTTTCCAGTCCGGTCAGACGTCTCCAGAGGCCAGCCTGTCCCATGTTGACCTGGCCTCCTTGGCGAGCAATGTCTCAGAGTGTCAGGAGCAGGAGGAGGAACCGTCATCTGCAGGAGAAGCGGAAAACCAAGTGGAGCAGGGTGACTCTGGCACAGCCCCGCAAACTGAGACCGTGTCTGTGATCTCCGCAGCAGGTGGGGACACTCTCTCCACACACACCAATGACTCAGGGTGCTGTGAGCTCGCCACCAGCTCCCAAGATTCTTTGGTGGAGAAAGAAACATCATGTGAAAAGGCTATAAAACCAGAAGGTACGTTGGTGTAAAAATCTTCGCTATAGTCTTTGTTTGTTGTGGAGTAATAGTCCATTGCTGTTTGTTCATTGGTAGCTGTAGTGACCGGGTATCAGCAGCCTTCTGAGTCAGCCACTGGAAGTGCGTCTCAATTCTACATCACAGTTCTGGACTCAAGCCAAAAGGAGGACAGAAAACTTGAGGACAAAGGTCAGTCAGAGGTTTTTGGATGGATATGTTTTATAAAATGCTTTCGTTGGAGCTGTGTATCTTTATCATCCTGGTGCCACCTACAGGTGATGTGATACTGGAGCTGCCTGATGACTGCACGCTGGAGCTGGTGTGGAAGAACAACGAGCGGCAGAAGGAATATGTGCTGGTCCGCTCTAAAGAGTTGGAGTTTGATGAGGACCCTGGCTCTGCTACAGAGACATCCAGGGCAGGACACTTCACCTTAGAGCAGTGCCTGAACCTCTTTACCAAACCTGAGGTGCTGGCCCCTGAAGAGGCATGGTACGGACAGACGTGTCAGTTTTTAAAGTGTGTTTAAATGACATAAATGTGACTGGCCCACATATATCTTCTCTTGTTGTGGTTCAGGTATTGTCCTAAGTGTCAGCAACACAGGGAAGCCTCTAAACAGCTACTGCTTTGGCGTCTTCCCAACGTGCTTATCATCCAGCTCAAGCGCTTCTCTTTTAGGAGCTTCATATGGAGGGACAAGATTAATGATATGGTTGATTTCCCAGTCAGGTACACTGAACTATACTCTTGTCTCACTGGCGGTCACTAGCACAGGGGTTCAAAAGTTTGGCATCTGCCAGATTTATTTGAATGTTTTGAGAGAATGCATTTATTTGATCAAAAATATAGTAAAAACGGTAATGTTGTGAAATATTATTACAATTTAAAATAACTGTTTTCTATTTTAATATATGAAAATATATTACTCCGGTCTTCAGAAATCATTTTAATATGCTGATTTTGGAGTGTGAAAAGTAATATTTTTATGAAATCCATGACTGAATTTTTTGTAAGATTCTTTGATGACTGGAAAGTTTCATATAACAATTTATTTGAAATAGAAATCTTCTATAACAAATGTCTTAAGGCCCAAGTATACTTGTTTTTTTTATGCTAATGTATGCGCACAGTCGAATGTGTAGCCTTTCAAATTATAGTCCATTTGAGGTGTACGCGAATGTAGGCAGTCGACACATGCACTCTAGAAAGATTCATCTTTGTCCAGCGTCTGCTCTATTTTTCTCTAAAAGTTATGACTGATAAAAATGTCTTTGTACTCTTTTAAACTAAAGTTTCTGCTATCTCATCACCCTTTCACACAAGCGCTTGTCAATGCGGTTGTCTGTTGTTGCAGTATCTCCTATTTTGTTGTTGTTGTTCCACCTCTTTAGTTTTGTTTTCTACTGTGAAACAACAGCCCGGGCTAGTGTTGCCACCTTGTGGAACAACTGATTAGTGCTAAACCAAGTCCATTTTTGTCACTTTTATTAGTATTTAAGTTTTTATTTTATCTTTCTATGAAGTTCTTCCCTAGCTGTTGTCACCTATAGCTGACTTACTAGTTGCTTGGCTCTATTTACTTGTAAAGCTGCTTTGTACTGTTATTTATTATGAAAAGTGTTATTCAAATAAATTATTCTAAGTATTCGAAGTATTCTAAGAGTGGTTTGAAAAAAAGTTACACCGTTAATTTGATACAAAGTAAAATGTAAAAAATGACAAACCCTGTAATAACATTAATACATTCTCAGTTGTTTGTGACACTACAAAAATAATACTGATAGTTTAGGAGTTTAATAGCAGTATGAACTGTGAACTTGTCATTTGGCTGAATAGTTTTGTTTATTATCCATGTTTTGGATTGCCCATGTAATGGATGTTTTACCTAGATTTTTCTGTCTTCATCAGAAACCTGGATCTGAGTAAGTTTTGTATTGGTCATAAGGGTGACATCCAGCAGCCCCCCATCTATGATCTCTACGCTGTGATCAACCATTATGGCGGCATGATCGGAGGACACTACACGGCCTATGCACGTCTTCCCAGCGACAAGAACAGCCAGCGCAGCGACGTCGGTACGAGTGAGCTCTTCTAGATCAGTAACATCTCACCGGCTGTGATGTGAAACATCTCACTGTCTGTCATTTACTATTTCAGGCTGGCGTTTGTTTGATGACAGCACAGTGACAACGGTGGAAGAGAGTCAGGTGGTTACACGTTACGCCTATGTGCTGTTCTACCGCCGCAGGAACTCTCCGGTAGAGAGGCCATCTCACTTACTGGGGCCCCTTGGCGCCGAATCCTCTGCTGCAACCGGCAGTGCTGCCAGTCAGGTGAGCTCAGCACCTTCTCAAGTCACTGCAGCCCAATGGAAAAACAGTTTAATCTTAGTGGAGCAGCTATATACTTGTTCATTAAAGTTGCAAGGGATTGGGTAACATTCCTGGTAGATCCAGCGTTCATTTTTTAATGAGCCGTCTCTCAGAAATGCTCAGACAACATCAGCTGATTATAATTTAATTCTGCATTTTTATGAGAGATTATGTTCTCTCAGATGTTCTGGAGTATAATCACCTTGTGATATCTATCAGTCATGACTAATAGATGAATCACAAAGCATCAAGAGTATTGAGTCGATTTGATGAGTTGTTATGATCTCCTGACTTTTTCTGATTATTGCTCTTTGTTCATGACTTTTGTGAATCTCAAAAGGTGAATTGGTTTCAACAATTTCTAACCAGTGCTGGGTATCGTTCCAAAATTTTCGAAATCGATACTGATACCTTGACTTCGATACCGGTTCCTGAACGATACTTTTTTCAATACCAATTTTATGAAATCCGTTTGAACAAGATTGCATTACACATTACCTAACAAAAACGTTGGTTTTATTTTTTCAGCTTGTTGAGGTTTTTACAGACTCAAAGACTCATCTCCTGAGCCACTGCACAAAGGAACAAAACGTAACCAAGAAAATAAATCAGTGCAAATAGTTGTAATAAAGTTTTCAGTTTCCACATCTTTTAGGCTACGTTTACACAAAGTATCAAACTCGATACCCAGCCCTATTTCTAACCAGAAGTTTCTTCACATCTTGTTCTCAGCTCAGTTGAACATGAGACTGACCGTCGTAAAACTTTGGAAGTGATTCAGTAACATAAGCATCTTTAAAAAGAATAGATTATGATGCACATGAACCAAGTTTAACATTTTGGTACATTTGGGGGAATATTTTGCATCAGTGGTCCATCCTTAAAGTACAAGCTGGTGATTTATGGGTCCAAGGAAACAATTTGCCTTTAATTTAGTAGATGTATCAGTCACAGGCTGTGTACATTGATTCAAAAAGCTATGATTTGAAAATGAAATGCTACTCTTGGACATGAAGAGGCCTCTTGGGGTCCTTTTGCATGCTATTTTGCTTACCCATCCACCTGAGTGTGTGAAACTGGAGCAGTGAGCTCTCTGATACACAGTGTAATTGGTGTTCTACGGTGGAATGATGAGGCAAGGCCCTTTCCCAGAAGCTGACACAGGTTTCCGCCAATCGCAGGCGTCTCTGATATGGCAGGAACTGGAGGAGGATGAGGAGGGGCAGCGAGAGGCCTCTTTTCGGAGCCTGTTCTGCCCTGGGCTGCGTGGAAGAAGAGCCAGGATGAGGCCAGAGGAAGAAGAGGAGGGCATTCTCACCGCAGACGAGACCGCATCTCAGATTACTCTGATGGCGAGCGTCTGAGATATTTCATCATGGGCACTGTGGCGGCAGTCCTAGCCTTGCTGTTCAACCTCATCTATCCTTTGTTGTACTGGTCCAACTGGGCTTAATTTACTGGTCACTGCAGCCGCAGACCCTCAGCAGAAACGAAAGATTTGCACTTTGCATTGTTCTGTTAGTCATCACTCTTCTCTTAGCAACTTCAATGTTATTTAGCTTGGGAGTCACACAGCCTGATATATATCCATGCTATTCAGGGTTGTGTTTTTATTTTTCATTTGTTGTTTTACAATAATGTCCAGAATGTTTCATAAACACTCAGGAAAAATGTCTTGCATAAATATAAATGTACTTAGTATATGCATTTTTATGGTTGACAAATTCTCAGAGCATTTAGAAGGACACCATTTTTTTAGCCATACTTGAGATTTTATTTTTAGCTCTATGACCAATCAATAAATCAAAACTTAGATTAAAAATATTGAAGGGATCCAAAAATGAAAAATAATAATTTACTCCGTCATGTTGTTCCAATCCTGTATGACATTATTTTTCAGAACATAAAAGAAGATATTTTAAAGAATGTTGGTAACAAAGCAGTTTCCATTGGATTTTTTGGTCCATACAACGGAAATCAATGGGAACTAAAGCTGTTTGGTCACCAGTGTTCTTCAAAATAACTTTTTATGTTCATACAGGTTTGGAAGGACATGATGGTTAGTAAATGGTGTCAATCTGCGATGACTCTTTATCTCTAGGTGTATTATATCAGATTTAAAGTCAATATGAATTCAATGTTTATTCAAGTTAATGTATTAGTGTTGATTTCTGGTCTTATAATGCATGATTCATCAGTGCATGCTATTCCCCAAGCAAAAATGTGTTGTTTTTTTTCTTTTTTTTTTTTTTTTTACCTCGATGTGTTTTTATTTCAGCTGAAGTAAAATCAATGTAATATACTTTTGTTCAATAATATTTTTTCATTTATTATTTTCTATTTTTATGGACATCTTATGGTACTAATTAATATTTATTCAATCATTTGTTTTTCTTTTTCTTAATTTTTTTTCTTTTTTCCAATTGTTGCAATATTTCAGGTTTAAATAGAGACAAGACCCTTTAATTATAGTGGATGAATTACTGATTTTATTTCACACATTTCCAAAAATTTGCTGTTTCAGTCACACAAGTTCATTTTGTGTGTGTGAGTGGGTGTGTTTCGCACTTTTGATGTTTTGAAGTTTAACCCCTTCATTGCTGTGTCCTTTTTCCTGCATTGTGGCTGAACTGTTGATTTGATTTTACACATTTGCAAAAGCCTGCTCTGTTATAGTCACACAAGTTTGTCACTCGTGATGTTTCAGAGTGTCATTGCTATGTACTTTTTTATGCATCAAGGCTGATTTGTAGAATCTACATGCAAAAACGTATGTATTTTCATATTTTTCCCTATTTCTTGTTCATTTCCTATGGCAATCATTTTTGACCACGAAGGCCACAAGTGTGACTTTTTTTTTTTATGACCACTTAGCCTTTTTGAATCATACCCTCAATTTTATTTTGTGTTTACATAGCAAGTGCCATAAAGGTCACCAAGTTTCATACCTTTCAGATGAAGTTAGAATTTGTAAAAATTCAAAACATAAAATTGTTAGGTCAGTAGTGACCAAAGAACACCAGAGGGTTAAAAATAGATTAACTGATTACCATTTTGTGAGTCAGCGAGGCAGATCTGCTCAGTACTGTACTTCTGAGTTTTTTTCCCCTCTACTTTGCATCATTGATTCAAAGCCTAGTTGCACGTGTTGTAAATTGAGATTAGATCCACATATTGCAAAATGAATGGTACCCGGGTTTTTGGATATGTGGCCGTTACAAAAGTCTCAGGGATGCTGGTGGGCTATAATGGTTGATGTAGCTTTCCACACTATAAAGCCTAAAGACATTTGGCTTCTGTGAATACCTCAGGTCTGGATACCATGACCGAAACAATCCCATCAGATTGTTATTATACCTCATTAAGGTCATAGGTCAGGATTATGTCATGATGGGTGTTCCTGTTTGAAATGTTACTGGTTCTAATTGAACGGCAAATCTTTGAGCACAGGACTGCTTTGTGCATGTTTGTTATCATTTAGGCAGTAATTGAATATGTTTGGGTAAGTGATTTTTATTTAAATATTATCTTAAAATGAAAATGTTCATGTTATTTATGATGCTGCACAAAATGTCCCAGCAATAATTGAGGCCACTTTAAATGCTGCTCAATTGTAATAGTGCCTGTATCACGCTCTTCATAAACAATAAATAATTCAAGATGACCCTGTCTTGAAATCACTCATTTGAAATAGTTGAATACTTAAAGGGGTCCTATTATGCTCTTTTACAAAGTCTTGATTTTGTTTTGGGGGTGTTCTAGAACAGGCTCTCATACTAGGTTGTTCGAAAAACACATTATTTTTCACATATTTTACATTATTACAACACCTCTCTCCCCAGTCTGGCATGAACGGCTGGAATAGTTCCTGTATCAAATGAAGACCCGCCTTCTGAAATACGAAATGTGCTGTGATTGGTTAGCTGGGCCAGTGTGTGTTGTGATTGGCAGCACTCAGCGCCTGGTCGGGAAATGTCATGCCCCTTACCATAGCCGCCTGCCAGCTTCAGTGTAAATATTGCGTCAAAATCAAATCAATTTTAGCGTGATTTAAACCCGGATGATTGTAACCACTCTCAGATCGTCTGCCTTGGGAAAGCTAGCGTGTCTCCAACATAGTGATAACACTCGTTGCCTTCTCTAGTGCAGCTCAACCAGGTCTCGTCCCATTCCTCGATATTTGTGATATCACAAATCCCGGAAAATATGCGTTGTAGTCCAAACGAGTCGTTCGTTGTAGTTTTTGAAAAGAGATTTCTGTTAAATAAAATATCTCCTTTTGAAGTGGACTTTGAGCTTTGTAACTTTGCAGATCTTTTTTATGCTCAAACAGTAGCATTACAGACTAACTAAAGTTGAAAAAGTGAAAAAGCATAATAGGACCCTTTTAAACTTTGTTTTTGTGTGTGTGTTGGCATCCAAGTCTCCATTCAAAAGATGCATAAAGTTTCTCCCTTTATAATGGTGGTTTATTTTACAGGCTTCTAGCCAGACACTGTTTGGGACAGACCTGGGCCCAGACGGACCGCCTCAGTTGAGCACAGAAGTGACCTCTGACTTGTTTGCACACTCTGGAGAATGTGCCGCCCCGTCCTACAGCAACATGGAGGAGGTGGATTGAAACTTCACCCAGTCAGGGAGACTTGCTTCCTCAACAACAAAAAAAGCAAAGAATAGACATCAGTACTCACAAGTGGATCGAGCATGGCAAAGGTGCTCAATTTTTTTTTTTTTTTTACATTTGCAATGTGGACATAAAGACCACATTGCATTTCCAATGGAAAGACTGTTTGGAAACGGCCGATTAAAGACGACATGCAGTAGGATGATGCTTAAAGTAAAGACTAATCCTCCAACACATTCACAAATAATTATTTAATTCTGGAAGGTGCACACATTGAAATATACTGTCATAAGAGGAAGCGCACAGGTCTCTAAGTTTTCTTTTTAATGTATATATATAAACATTTTAATACAGAAATTATGCCATTCACAATTTCACATGGTAGGTTTCTGAGACAATGTTTATCTTGCTTGTGTTTACACGAGGTGTTACTTTGGGAAAAACAATCGGTGAGTGCGATCAGCATGGTTGGTTTGGATGCACAGAAGAGTTAGGTGTTTGTTCTCACTGAAATGTCTCCTGGCCTGATGTGTTTCTTTGTAAAGAGTCTGGAGGTGTTGTGTAAAACTTTTTGCAGGTATTGTAGATGAGGTTTTAAGTGTGGACAAGGCAGATTGCTTGATTTTGATTTGATTTCCCCCCTCACACACAGGCCATTTCTCAACTGGATGTTTTGTTCTTTCTTTCTCAGACAATCTAGTGATTGAAATTCTTTTGTTTTATTCCATGTCAGATCCTGTGGAAATGCAAAAGCTTGATGGATTGAGATGCATGTTAACCTACAATAGCCCTAGTACTGTGTATCATATATCATCTTTTGTTTTTCTAAGTTTTGAGTAGATTGTCGTTTTCGTGTTGGACTGCATAGCAAGCAGGAACTGGGGATTTGATCGTAAGAATGCTGCTGTGAATAAAACAAATGGGTATTAATATAAATAAAGGCAATTTTTTTGTGTAACAACCTTAAATATTACAGTTGTATGTGCATATTTATTTGTCAAGTTTCACATGTTAAGTTTAGAAGTAAAATATTATAACAAGCAGGTGAACCTCATAAAAACTTCATGAAAAAGCAACCAAGTCATGATACACTCCAAAATCAATATCATATTTTGCACAAAGAAAGTGTGACACGTTGGCTGTCAAAATTGCATGAATGGGAAAGTCGGTAACAAAGTAATGTTTTTAAATTTGGTTTGAATGCAGTCTATATATCAGACGATTTTGAAAAGACATACACAGAAATGAAGAGGTAAGACTATAAAATACACACAGACGCACACTTACACAGATGGAGAAAGACTGAAATGTTACAATATAATACTATATTTGAAATGTAATACTGTTATTGTCTTTATACTGATATGTTTCTTACAAACACAGCTTTTCGCTTCAGTCGTGTGGTTTGTTTGTGGATTATTGTGATGTTTTAATCAGCTGTTTGGACTCTCATTCTGACGGCACCCATTCACTGCAGAGGATCCATTGGTGAGCAAGTGATGGAATGCTAAATTTCTCTGGTGAAGAAATAAACTGTTCTACATCTTGTATGGCCTAAAGGTGAGTACATTTTCATTTTCAGATGAACTATGCCTTATGTACATTTCCATATACTCATAAGACTGTTATGCTCAAAATGCTCAAATTTTTTTTATTTTATATATTGGCCAAACTCTCTTGCTCAGCATCACGTCGCATGGTTCTCACTGTTTTCAGGTAAATTGGAACGGTTGTCAAAAGCACCAACTCTTCTCCAGCCTTGAGAGGGTGCCATCACATACTACTAGACTAGTTAGACTTTATTGACTGACCACTTTGAACTCCGGACAACAATAAGGTTATGCATGATTTCAGTCAAAATAAATGTATTATGGGCCCTTCATTTCACCATATTTAGTGGATGAATATAATTGTTCATAGTCGCCGGGAGAAGGAAGGCAGCAGTAGGTGGCGCGCTCACTACATTCACCCGTAAAGCGCTGCAGCCCCGCTCTTTCTCGCGGAATTTGACACCGACACGGAAGTGATGCTGTCATTCTAAAAGCCGGTTTTAGAGCTCAGCGGTTTTCAGTCAAACGTCCTTTCTTAAACGAATGCAGTTCAACGTATGTATCTGTACCGACAGAGAATGAGAACATCGCGTGTCAGGCTGTTCTTCCATTGACTGAGATGTGTGGCATCCGCATAAATCATATGAAATCTGGAGGGATTCACCAGGCATTCATCGCCAGAGATATTTATCCTCGTGTACACTTAAGTATCTTTGTTTAGTTTATATATGAACAACTGTAGTTTTAAATATATCCTCATATAAATATAAATATACGTATATCCTCATATACGTTGTAACACCATGTATAACTCGGAGAGGATCCCTGAAACAAGTATCGATCAGAACCAAACTAATGGATGCAGAAGTGATGTGAACTCTGACGGGGCAGACCCCACTGATTCAATCCCAGGAAGACCTTCCAGAAGATTCGTTCTTCACTTTGATCTCAACAACACAATCCTTGTGTCTGACGCAGTCACGAGACAAGGAACTGTAGCTGCACTTGAATACTTCCTGTCCACGGTGGCCTGGGGGCGCATGACAAAAGGTAAGACCACTTATCTGTGGGTTTTCAACTTTTACAGACCAGAAACCCAGAAAGCCAGATTCTCAGCCAACAGCCAAACCGGGGACAATCAATATAAAAAGACAGACTACCTATATGTGTGTCGCCTATAAAATGTATATTAAATAATAAGTAAACGCTATTATCTATGTAATAATAATATGTATAATAATAATATAATGTAAGTTAAATAATATTTACATTTAAAATAAAAAACTAAATTATATTTGTATACATTTATGTGTTTATATA